ATAAGAACCTGATCTTTTACCGCCTACTCGGACGAAGACAGACTCCACCGAGTACTTTTTAAAGGTTCCATGGAGCAATAATGCGTTAGAAAATAACTAAATCACAGGGGGCGAAAAGGTTATCTCGTTACCGGCGGCTGGGAGCCGGTTGGCGCCGACGTCGGTTCAATTTCCACGCGAGTAATACGATTAGCCCGCGCTGCGAGGACGCAGGGCGCGGAGGCCCAGAGCGCGGTGGGGTGGGGTGGGGGAGGGCGAGTGGAAGGGGAGGAGGCTGCGTGGAGGAAGGCAGCTGCGAACAGCAGGGGCGACATAATGGAGGGGACGGCCGCACACAGCTCCTTAGAGCAGGGAGGGCCTCGGGTTGAAAACAACCAAGTCAGTGCTTGTAGGCAACTCGAAGAGACGTTTTTCTGTAAGAAGTGCATAAATTACCGAACCCAAATGAATTGCATTATTATTTCAAAAAATATTTTTACAGGTACTCGCAGTTCATAAGCATTGATGTGGAACTGTAAAAGTGATAAGGACGTTACAGATGTTAATGTTACAGAATTCAATATTTTGAGCATTAATTACGAAAGATATCAATGATATGGCAAGAATTATGAAATATTGTATCACTAAAATTCTTGATAATTGATAAAATTAAATGTAAAATGAGAGAAAATTAAAAGAGAAGCATCGCGACGAAATAATAAAAGAGCAAAAAAGAAAGTACCTTATCAAAACAAGTCCCACTTACGAAAATACCTTATTTAAAAAAAAGTCATAAGTGCGGAAAGAGACGCCGTTGCAGCTTCTTGTGCCTGTAAGTGTAACGTGGAGAACTTTGACGGATCTGTCAAAATATTCAGAGACAAGCGAGATGAGAAATGCAGGTACTGCTTAGTGAGTAGCCATGAGAAATGAGCAGAAGAGCGGAGCCGGTCTGGTAGCGACATAGACGACTTACGGCAGATGAGGGCAGCGAAGCGTCATCGGAACCGCATGGCAGGAGACAAGAGACGGCTAGGAGAGAAGGAAAGTGGTAGAAGCGGGATCCGAGAGGAGATGGAGGAGGCGTCAGGGAGACGAACGGGGTTTTGGACGGAATTTGGAGGCGAGGATGGAGCGGTGCGCCAGAGAACGTGAAGAGGGGCCAGAAGGGGTGGGTGGAAGGAGAGGGAGGAGGTGGAGGGGCGGGGGAAGGGTGAGGAGGGTAGGAGTGTGGTGGAAGGGAGGGACGGGGTGGAGGGTGGGTGAAAGAGAGGGAGGTGGTGGAGGAGTGAGGGTGGAAAGAGAGGAAAGGGTGGAGGGGCGTGTGGAAGGGGTGTGGATAGGGTGGTGAGGTGTTTTGTGTGAAGGGTGTGTGGAGGGTGTTGGAGGTGTGGAGAGAGGTGTGTGAGCGGTGTGTTGGTGGGTGTGTGGTGGGTGTTGGAGGGGCTGTGGAGAGCTGTTAGGTGGTGCAGGGAAGAGGTATGAGAGGAGGGGCGGGGGAGGGGTAGACGGAGAGGGTGGAGGCGGCGGGTGGTAGCCGCTGGTTGAGGTGTGCGAAGAGGGGCGGGAGGTGGGGCGGGAAGAGGGAAGGGAGGAGGGGCGGAGGGAGGGGTGGGATGGCACGAGGGTGAGGGCGGTGGAGTCGTGCGGTGGCAGGTGCAAGAGGTGGCGGAGTTGGGGCGGGTAGAGGATTGGGAGGAGGGCGGGCGATATGAGGTGGGTGGATAAGGTGAGGGGTCGGCGTGAAGCGCGGTTGGAAGGGTGCGAGGAGGGCGGGAAGAGGGAAGGGAGGAGGGGGCGGGGGCAGGGGTGGATTGGAGAGGGTGGTTGAGGCGCGGTGAGTCGTGGGTTTGAGGGTGCAAAGCGAGTGCGGGAGGCTGGGGCGGGGAGAGGGATGGAGGGAGAGCGGCGGAGAGGTGACGGGAGCTCGTTGGTGGCCGCGAGGGGTCGGGAGGGATGGTGCGGGCGGATAGAAGCGGTGGGGGAGAGGCGGAATGAAGCAAGAAAGGCAGAGGCAGGCACAGGCGTGCGTGGCGAGGCACGCGCAAGAAGGCGGATAATCACGTACCGAGGGGCAGCCACCCACGAAACAAGCGCGCAACGAGGCAGCCACACAAAAAGGGCGGCGGCGGTGGCGGCGGCGGCGGCGATGTTAGCGTGGAACGTGACCTTTGATGCAACTAGCTCGAGCCCTCCGTGTCTCTGACATCATGGAAGTGGCGTTTCTTAGTACTGTCCCCAACAAATTACAGGAATATTTATGGTGATTTTCAGTAGATAGTGTGCATCATTACTACCATGTGTTCTTTCTTGTATACGTTACACAGAGATTAATGTTTATCTGCGATGTTTTTCTCAGTTTTAAAACTAATTCACGAGCTGATTTCAGGAAAAAATAGTAATTAACATTTATTGACAAATATTTCTCTCAACATACAACACCAGAGTGTTATTATGTATTAAGATTATTTTTAAAGTAAACATTATACTCACTAGCAAACAAATATTGGAATCTAAATAAACAATTTCATTCATACTCAATTAAAATGCGCGAATTTTTTGGTCTATAATTTTTAATATTATTTTTGCTCAGATCCATCTTTAATTATATGTCTCAAAGTAAATGTATAATTTTGGTAGTGGAACAAGAAATAAAACAAAGTCGGGCTAAGTGAAAAGCAAACAAATAGAATTATTCGGCAATTTTTGTAATGTAATATTTCGTGTTTCTGGGCGCGTCTACTGCTAGGTTCACGTAGCTCCTAAGTGTAGTGCATGTTTTTGCGGGAAGTGGCATTCGTCGCCAACTACGTCAGCTTGCGTTTTCCTCTATCCAGGTATCTCGCACCAGCGTGCACCGCCCCAGTCGGGAAAAGTTTTAGGCTTTTAAGCTGAATTGCCGATATGCGTGTTAGGTCAGTGCATTGTAGTGTGTACGAGTTGAGTATAGAGCAATCACGAGGAAGTAAAGATCGCGCATGGTCCGTTTGTAAGGATACTGCTCCGGCATTCGCCTGGAAGAATGCCTGCCACTGCATTCAGAAAAAAACGGCAAATTATCGGTCAGAGCAGGCGGCTGATAGAATTCTCCTCCAGAATTCATCAGAATACGACTTATCTATTTAGCTAGTGTTTAAAATACGCCAATAAGTGAACTTGAACCCTAGAAACTCAATTCGAGGTACTGCAGAAACATACGTTGATGAGTGATCCGATCGGTTGTGTTTGAAATGGTACAGAAGACAATGCGAGTGACTTGTAAGCATGCCATTTTCATTCATATGTAGTCAATGCTAATTGCAAATTCAAAATTGGCAAGTTGCATAATTACGGGATGGAATAAAAGATAAATGTAATATATTTATAATAAAAGTATAGTTACAAGGAACGCTTTTGTAAAGAGGCTATACGGAATGAAGTGAGAAATATTCACGTAACACATTCATTATGTCAAGTTAAATGGAAGGATTCAATCGAAATGAAAGAGATTGCATCTTTGTAACCAAATGTGCCATTTTTATCCAAGTGCTGAAGTGATATCGAGAAAAGACGTTCGGATTAGTGTTGGAAGCAGTAGTGATAAGAAATTATGGTAATTGTAACAATAAAACAGCTCCTAAACCCATAGCTTAAAAAAATATATAATGCATCGTCGTGAATGAACAAGTTTTTGGGGTCCATTTCATTTTCTTTACTATCACAAATTGTTTGTTTCGAAACAGAAACAATTGATCTACTGAACTGAATTACCATGGTAGCAAGCAAACTTCCTTAACAAGAACATCACAATACTTTTGCTACATGCCTAACAAAATTCACGTCCACATTGTACAAAGACGACAATAAAAGGCATGACATTTTATGGCAGGTACGTCGGATGAATAGTCAACAATTTATTTCCCACATCACATTACGGAAATGTATTTCGGAAATTTTATGTTCAGGGAGTGATACGGTGAACAGTGGCCCTGCAAAACTAAACACATCCTTCCAACTGTGGATGTGGTTGTTGCTCATGATATTGCTTTTTCTAAGGCTGTTTGTTGTCAATTAATACTACTACCTTAAAAGCGGGCAAATCAGCAGATCAAGATGTGTTGGCCGTAAGTATATAACTATAAAGTGCTTGCTCTTGCATTTAATTATTTAATTTAAATTGTCTTTTGTATAGTAATTAGTCAATTTAATTTTCACTAGAGATCACATGATTAAAAATGCCTCAAAACCTGGCTCAAATGTTATTGAAACACTAGATATACTCGTATAAATTGATGATACGTTAACTCCTTAAATCTACAACTTTATGTACACAGCAAATAAAATCTATATAATAAAAGTGTTTGTTTTTTAAAACCACAGAGTTTTGTGTAATCATTATCTTCAATTACATCAAAACAACGTTTCAGTCACCGGATTTATGTACTTGTACAATACAGAACATTTATGCATATATTAAGAACTAATCAACAAATTAAGTATATCCAGCAATTATATCCAATATAAGAATGAAACAGAATTCTCAAAAACGTGTGTTAATAGGCATAGTCCGATTGTATCCGTTTCTATGTTATAGATGTTTTTTGGTATATGGCAACTACGCATCTCCCTACCACTGCAGCTGCAGAAGATAAGCTCATGAAGCACCCTCATATATTCCAAACAACTAGGAGCTACTTGAAAAGTTCTGCTATGTGTCCTACCTGGTGAGACTTATATCGTCGACATGTTTACATCATGAAAGATACTACATATCGATATCTTAAATAAATCAAAATAGGACAATGTTCTATTGTGCTCTGTTAGTGAGCAATAATTTGTTATTAGTTATGTCCTTAAATCATAACCGAATTATCTTGTGCAAACGAAGTGGCTTTGGATTTAAATCATACCTGGAACTCCACAATTACAGGAAACTTTGGGCTCAGTACTTGCGGTGATTTTGCAATTGCTATATTTTATCATAGAACATTCTAAAACTAGTTGACTCCCACGTCATTTTGGAAGCATGGTAATTACAAAATACTTATTAGAATGGATAAATTACCACATGTTTCCAAACAAGACCAAATCCGTCCCTTTTGTAAAGCGTAGTTTACGGGGTATTTCACACCTTTTAGTAGAATGATTTAAAAAAATAATCGATTTTCAAATAAATGTGCTGGTTTGTAATACTGGTAAGTTTCGTAGAAGGCCTGTTGAATATAGATAATTATACATTACCAATACAAAAAAGTATTATTGATAAAATTGTAATTAATCTTAGACCATGTTCTTTTATGTCTATATATTTTATTTTTTAAAGGTCTCTTTCCCACTGTTAAATTAACGTACCGACCACCCATACATTAGAGGTAACGGTAACGTTTTACAGACACTCAGAAACATCTCTGTCGCGGGTGGGATTCAAACCCGCGATCCTTCAGGCGTGAAGCAGCTCTGTCTCTTTAGCTTTAGCGACCTCAGCTATCCATGCTGGCACTTAACTCTTTGTGTTTAGAAGTAAACGAAAATTGAATTCGTATTTAATTATCCCAACAGTGCCATACTTAAACAAATAATTGGAAAGCTACGAAGCATTTCAATAAAAAAATAGTTCAAAATCTATTATAAATTTCAACATTTTCACCTCTTTCTAGAAACAAAATTGTTTTCTGTTTCTCAATAAAAAAAATAGTTCAAAATCTATTATAAATTTCCACATTTTCACCTCTTTCTAGAAACAAAATTGTTTTCTGTTTCTCGGAAAAAACATTGAGAGATACGCAATATTTTAATATTTGTTTCGCCAGTTTTTTCATAGTTTTATCGATCAACGCCATTGCAGCTGTTCTACTGGCGACTTATGTGGCGAAGGGAGCTTCAAAAAAGACCTGTTGGTTAGTAGGCTTAAAAGTAGTGTCTGATAGAAATAATAATTAATATATAAACTTACAGAATTAAAATTGGCATATTATTTTTTCAACGGCAGAATTATTAATACAAATATTCGAGGGATAAAAAAGGATAGTTTTACGTTACTCAAAGTATGGATCATTCTTGTATTGCACAAACTGGAGAACGATTTCGCTTCAAGTTCAATATCGCTTATATCAAGGTGTAAGTCTTCCTCGCATTGAAGAGTTTTCGAAGATGTTTATCATAGGTAATTGTTTATGAATTCCCGGCTCACGAAGGGAGGATTGGCTGAGAAGCTGAGAATTTACAAAGCACGATGACTATTCCACGAGTGAAATTATGCCCAACAGAGTTCCAAAGTGCGCCAAAAGCTTACGTTAAAATCAGAGGTTACATTGTGGTACATACACTGTTAATTGGGCATCTGCAGATCGATGTATACCACTTCCTAAGGTAGATGAGTCACAGTTTATGATTGGCCAGAAGGTAAAAGCGGTAAGGAATATCGGATAAAAAAAGCAATTAACGTTTTGAGATTCACCGACCCTAATTGGGGCATAATGTATGAATAGTTAAAACACTGCTGGTTTTCATTTCTCGAGTGGAATAGAGTAAAGTATTCAACTGACGGCTAGCCGTGGTACAACATGATTTTTTTTTCAATCTAACACGTGCACCATCCGAAGCGCAATATATCAATAGAAAAAAGACGACAACCCCAGATAAAATCAAGCGTGCGAACTAGCGTTTAGCCATCGACCCTTTCCGTACCGCCCCCTTGAAAAGGTTGCCCGACGGCAGGGACGGCCCCGTGTTGCAGACAGTGACGATGGGCTCCGCCACCGAGTTCCGCAAGGTCGAGGGGCAGCGCCTACCGCCCGCGCCGCTCATCTCCGGCCCCGTCTCGCTGCACCTCGTCTCCCCCAGCGTCATCGCCGGTGAGCCCCTCCGCCGCACACCCGCCAACCACATGATCCAAGTGTGCGATTTGGATCACGAAATAGTTACATGCCATAAAAATCCGAATTGCGCGGACAATATCATTACAGATTGATCATGTTTCGCACAAACACCTTAAACCTACAGAAAAGTACCCCTTAATTCAAGAGAATCATAATTATTAATTTATGTATTTAGCATTTTCGGCTTGAATGAATCCGACTTTTCCCAGCTAGAGGTGTTCCCAAACCGGGGCCTTGTTTTACTTTCTCACATTAAGTAAGAGTTTTCTGGGTGCCGGGAAACGGCGAATTTTCAGCAGAAGGAAATCTTATTGCCGATCCCTGGTAACGAAGTGCATAAACCTTGTTGCTGTGTATAGTAAATTACTTACTCTAACACGTGGTTTGAGGAAATCCATGTTTTGTGAATTATTGATAGCGAAAAATCGATTGACACAAAATGTCTGTCCGTCTGCCTATCTGTTGTCCATTTGTGGTCAACATTAGTACCAAAACCGTTCAGCCTTTGCCTCTCTGCCCTGGGAGTTTCAAGCGGATATTTTGATTACTGAGAGTAGTTTACATGAAACTTCAAAAACATGTTCAAAATTCTCAAAAATGATCTCAAATTATTTGATTAAAGTTCGTTCGCGGATACTGTAAAGGACTCTTTAGAGAATGGTGTAGATCTCATGATCATTGAATAACCAGATTTTTCGAAAATTGCAAAAGTTCAATTTTTTGGTAGTTTTCCTACAACTAAAATATTGAAAATAGAGCTTTTCTTAATGAAATATGTTCTCTGAAGAGATATCTTGAAATTGTCATGTTCAATTTTTGGAAATTATGAGTAGATTTTATGTAATTATGTAATATAGACAATTCGATTTTTTAAACATATATATTCTCCAAACTTTTTCTTCTCATATGGAGGAAGGTACGGTAGAAAATATTATGCAAGTCCCAATTTCGGCGAACTTCGGTGAGCCTTCGAAAATTGCAATTAACATTTCAAAACCACAAAATTGAAGATAGAGTTCTTTGCCTGACGCAAATTTTGATGTGAAAAAACAGCGCTTTATAAAATGGTTGTCTACAATTTGTTGAAGAAACCAGTAGATTTCGCGTAAATTGTTTCTGAAAATTTATGAACTTTGTACAAAAATGTTTTCTCAAAAACCCCTTCAATTTTTTCTTCAAACCTTTTCCACTGATAAAATAAGACACGCTTAAAAGAATGACTCGGGTCTCATTATCTTTTTACTCTCGAAATTGTCAAAAATTGTGAATTTATAAATAATGCGAGGAAGTAAGTGCTGTTGTATCACTATTATTAATTTATTAATTATTCCCGAGGTTAAGGCAGACATGAGGCGATCACGACGTTTTCCCTTAATCCAATCCAGGATTCTTGGCCTGCCTGAGCTTTTCTTTCGTAACACAGATACAGAAACCGAGACGATTGTAATCGAAAGCTACCATTCGATATTTGCCGCGACCAGGAATCGAACTCGGGAGCTCGCCACGGAGACCTAACATGCTGCTCAAAAATATCCAAGGGGCTCTAATATTTTATTTAATTCTATAAAAAATCAAAGCATTTTGATCATAAACTAGTGAAATTCGCTTGGATTAAACATGACCCTTTTTATATTCCGTAGGCGGTATTGTTTCAAATTACTGAGATAATTAAATGATTTTGTTCACTTCCTAAAACAGCTTAGATTGACAAACATTCATTACACCAAGGAAGTGGCTAAAATCTTCACAATTCATTCTAAAGTACATGTAGCGTGAAATAAAGAAAGTAAATTTTTGAAAAAAGAAAGACTGACTTCTTAATATATGTTTTTTTCTTTCTTCGTCTCAGAGATGACGCGGCCATACCGTGTCGCGACATTTGCTTTTTGTGTTTTCCATTATAATATAATATTTGTGTTTTTCATTATAATATAATATTTGTTTCAAAATATACGAGTGCTTTGTCTTCAAATATCCTGATACTAACACTGTCCCAAAAACAAGTTCAAAATATTTGTACAACTATAAAGAGAAAAGGCAGTTCATTTATTCTTGAAAAAAAAGAAAAAGAATAGGACTGCAAAGCGGGTGTGGCGGGTGCGCAGCTGCGGCTACGGTGGCGGCGTCGGCGTCGGTGAACGTGGCGGCGCACGGCGGCGGGGGCGGCGGCGGCGGGGGCGGGGGCGGCTGGCAGCGCTCCCTGGGCGTTGACGACTGGGACGACTGCGTGCGCCGCCCGACCTCCCAGGTGCGCGACGCTCCTTCGTCGTCGGGGGGAAGTTAAATGCGAGCGGCCGACTGAGGTCTCTGCAGTCTCTCTGGCCGAGTGGCCGTAGGGTTTGCGAACGGCTGAGGCGGATTTACGACACTAGCCACAGCGCTAGGTCGAATTCAGCCGCAGTCTGGGGAAGATGTCTCCCGGCCATCTGCTCTGATCGTGGTTTCTCTGATCAACACCAGGCGAATGACAGTACTTTAACAAACGGGTCACGGACTGCGGGCGATCTCTTCATCTTCCTTGTCCTACACTCCTCGCCTTACAACTACGTTACTATAAGGATATCTAACACGATCTTAGAGTCAGAACATGAAACGATTGTTGCGGCTCTCTGTTGGGGTGAAATCCCCCGCAAACTGCGTGTAGGTTGGAGCCGAATCTTTCCGCTCAGCGGATGAGGAACACACCACCTCTCACGATAAAATATTCCCTACACTAACGGGACCAATGACCACAACAGTTGGCACACCTTGAAACACTAAGTAAGCAAGTTAGCTACGAGAACCTCAAGAGTCGGAACCACCCAGAATGGGCAATGTAAACGTAAAAAATTAACGTAAATCTGAATAGAAATTAGACGTTACTGTGAAAGTTCTCGAAGTTCAAGCTAATTGGGCGTGGTTTTGAGAACACCATAATGTATGGTACCGAATAAATATCCAAAAACATCTTATAACGTTCATTAGGCACAAACCTAAGAAGATTCTAAGAGCATAAATTGGCATTACACATCACCATTGCTTGCGAAAAGCCCAGTGGGTTCATTATAAAATGGTAGAAGAATAATTGTTCCCTGAGCATGATTGCATTCTTTTTATTTATAGTCTCTCATTATTTACAGAGTATTTCCGTGACACGTGTATGGGTCGGGATTATAATATCGATGAGTGCTATTTCATGTTCACATTTATGCCGAAAATACGCGTTACACCAAGTACGTGAATAGTTTCGAATGCCGCGCAAGGCACAGACGTTTTCAGGTGCATAGTGGTACGGAGTGCATTCACAGAACATTAACCTCTGAATCAGATTTCTTCCTCTAATTTCCTTCTCTACCAAGGTAACTAATGTGTGAAAGTATAATACTGCGTCGAACACATACCTCCGGTTTCTCCTCACTTACATGAGCAAATGATTGTCTTTTAGCTTAGAAAATCTTTGTTACTGCACAGACATTTCTTGACACGTTCTTTTCCGTCACATCCAGACGGTTGGGTTTAATGTTATGATAATATTTATAAGTATTAACGAAGAGACAAAATACTTTTTTGCTGTTACAAACGACCGAGTACGTGTGAATTCGTGTGTATATAACGACATATGACCCTGCGATCTTTCCTTCGATCTTTTCTTTTCTCAAGTGGGCAGTCAGAATAGCAGAACACACGATGTCTCAAATGAATTCCTAAATCTACAAAAGCTTTGAAATTGGGAAATGCGTTCAAAGTTCCAATGATATTTAAGCTGTGACAAAATTTAAAAATTACAAAGAAAACTTTCTTTGGAAATATTTCTACAGGAAGAAATATATGGAATACAACGCGTAAAAACTGAACTATTGCAGGTAACGCATCAATAAAACGATCAAATGGCCAAGCGGCATTGTCTGTGAATGTTCTTGTTACCTAAAGGCATATAACATTACCTGGGATATCACGTAGCGTACAAATTGCGTTAGAAGCTACGCGATATTGTCAGTTAATATGTATCTATACTCTCACTCTTGCAGAAGACCGTGTGTCATGTTTGCGTGCAAAGTGTTCTAACGATTCCTTTGCCTCATTTGGTACCTTTAAGAGTACAATGTGCGGTTTTCTTGTTTTGTTTTATTTTGTTATGTTTTTAGTGATAATAAATGTCATCGAAGTGTCCCGTCATTACAAAAACGTGATTGGATTTGCGAGAGAGAAAAAACTTTCCCCAAACGTTTCAAGGAATAATGTGTGAAAGTATGCGTGTCTGTGAGTGTACAAGAAACCTTTAACATCACACACTCTAAATACCGTAAAAAAAACTTTTTGGTTTTCAAACGGTTTGGGTTTCGATTTGAAGCAAAACTGTATTTATCACAAAAAATTCCATTTTCTTCCTGTACATTAAAAAAGCAATATACTCCGCAAATGTTTTTGGATTGTAATTTTACTTTCAAAATGTAAAGCCTGTGAATGTCCGACGCCACCCGCAACATTGGCAACATATACACTGGCAACAATCATATAAACTGCGCACAGCCACTCATCTGTTCATTGTTGTGTCTCTGATAAGTGTCTTTCGATGATGTACTACATCGACATCGGTTTACAAAATAAAAAGTTATTTTCGAGCAGCAATATTAAAGCTTGAGTAATAAGATACACATGAATAATGACTTAAGCACGTCGAGATTAGCTCACAACCTTTTACACAAACATACATACGAAGAAGTAATATAATATTTCACATATTCTCTTTCATTATTTTAACGATTATGTAAAATTATAATAAATGTGTCAAAATTAAATTTCTTGTAAAAATTTCTAGGCATATTTAGAACAATTGTGTTTATATACTCTAAATTAATGCACACGAATAACGTTCAACAGGATTCGTTGGTAAGGAAACAATATTTTAAAAGAATTTTTAACGTTCAATACTTAACCTATAACACTGTAGCATCTACACATAAACATTCTTCTTCCCATTCACGAACTGTAACCAATGTTAGAGAACAAAAAATAAAGAACATTTCAATTAACACGAGGGTTTACTTTGGTTTCTGTATTTTTTCTATATAATCCGAACAATGTAAACAATTACGCCAAGTAGAAAATAATCATTACGTTTTGCCTAGAATTGTTTGAAATACCTACCGCAAAAGAGGCAAAGTATAATATCTTTCCCCTTCCTATTCATGGATTTAAAAAAAAATTAAAATGTAAGCTATAACAATTTAATCGTAAGTTAAGAAATGAACCCTCGAATATTGACAATTGAATATTAAAAACATCCAAAGTGTCCAGTAGTGTCGTTGGCTGACGCATGTCCTTCCTTCTTACTCTAGCCGCCTAACGTCCCACCCTCAGCGTATTCCCCCCGCGCAAGCGCCTAATCCCCTTTCGCCCGCGCCTGCGCAGGAAGGCACGCAAGCGCCGGCAGGCCTGCGACACCTGCTGGCGCCGTCGTCCGCGCAGGCCCAGGCCGTCCACCTGCAGCTGTCGCCGCCCTGCTCGCACGTGGACATGGCCCTGGGCAACCTGCCGCTGCCGCGCGCGCGCATGCGCAAAAAGCGGCTCATCTTCACGTGACGCCCCCGCGCATGCGCCTCCGCTGCCGCCGACCACCGCCACCAAATGCCCCACAAAAAAAAAACGGAATTTACGAAGCGAAATTGTACAATGTGACTTGACCAAAAACTACAACTAACCATAGTAAACTATATAAAAACTGGAAATACATATTTTTGACGGCACTCACTTGTTTTGAATTTTTGTAGTTGGTTAATTTTTAATTCTTGCTTTGGTAGCATGTAAGTTTCTTCTTCTGCCTACGTATTTTCCTTCGTTGTTTTGCAAAGTTTCGTATGTTTTCTACTAATTTATGCCTTTCACTATTTATCATTCTCCTTTTTGTTTAATATTGTTCCTTTTCCTGAATCTGGTTTTCTCAATTAATTTTCAGTTATGTTCATTTCAAATTCATTCTTCTTTTCCGTGTATTTGAAACTGAATTAGGTAATAATAATAATAATAATAATAATAACAGCAATAATAAATTAATTAAAATTTCATATGAATTAATACTATGTAAATAAGTTCATGTAAAAGTATATGCCTTATTGGCATTTGCTGAAGATAGTGTTACCAAAAACGTCCGGAATCTGATAAAACTTTCCGCAGACAGTTACATATATACAGGACTGATCAAACAATTACGATTATGGCTAGGATTAACAGGAATAAAAGACTTGGAATACCGAAAGATCTGATAATCGCCGAGTGGAATGTAAGAGGACTTTCACACAGAGGTTGAACTTCAAATAGTACTTAAGAAAATGAAAGTTGTTGCTGTCATCCATTAAACTCAACAGAAATTAAAAGATTCAGCTGAAAAGGAGGATTAGGTATTACTTTATAGAGGACTCAGCTCTGAAAAAACAAACAGCTGAATGGAGTTCTGCCCAACAAACAATTAGGGAACCGGATCCATAGCCACAATTTTGCACATGAAAGGATTTTAACCGTAAGATACAAAACAATGAGAGGAAACACAACGTTGATAGCCACATAAACCCAAATGATTATAAAATACTTGAAAGAACGATTCTCCTTTAAAAGATGTAATATAAATCAATGCCTTCTCATAGATTATTCCACTTTTTACAACTTTAAAATAACCAATAATTTTCCCACACAGGTTCTCGATCAATAATTAATCATAAACAATCACAAACTTGAAAAGAAAATCACAGTCACAAGAGTATTTAAAAATTGTAACGTTGGATCTTACCATTTCTTGAATTCCAACCAAATGGAAAAAATCTACACCTAAGAACATCTAAGACACCTAACAATACTAACAATACTAACAATATAATTATCCTCAAATATATATAAATAGAAATACTCTCTGATTTGGCATAATTCAGTTAGATTTAATATTTAGCAAGAAATATTTATTTCACATGCTGCGGCAGCTGCTTGGAATATATGCTAAATAAAATCTGAGTAATTTTTGCTGCTATGGAAACGAAATGTTAGAACCCACAAGTGACAATGATGATTTAACGAGCATCAGTATGTCCTAACCAAAAATGCATGTATCAAAAAGTGGGATGTGGTGAGTTTCTAATACACAAGAATTGAAGGAAATCACTCCAGGTACTGAAGGAAATCAATCTTGCGGTTTCGGAAATTGAAGTACACTTAGCATTCGAATCACCAAGTTAATTTGTTGTACCACATTTCTCATTGTTTTTTTAACATTCTAGGGAGCAAAGTTCTAACAACATGGCTTATGTCAGTGATCTTCACTGTTCTTTTAGGACTATCCCTTAAGAAAAAGGAAAAACAATTAATGGAACTCAAAAGTAACTAAGTAAGTATTTTTGAAAGAAATGACCAATAAAATATGAAAAGTGCATTAACACTGCATTAATGAAAAAGTATGTAATGTTAGTAGTTAAAGTAATAATCATCTCTAAGAAAATGCTGTAAACAAACTACAATTTACCCAGGATCACAAGAAAGACAACGAGAATCCGAATTATCAGCGACGATAAGAATATAGCGTATAATCCTTTGCTCGTTGATGATCTAACAGAATTGAAAATGGGTGGTTGTCAATGCTAGTGAGTATTTGAGCATCAGAGGAAAAATTGTGAGATATATATGATAAATTTTCTTCAACCGACTTTAAATTTAAATGAATTATATAAACAATAATTGTTCCTAATCGACTTTTTTTGAAATATTTGTTCATTTTTTCTCCTCTAAAGCACAGGACAGGGAGGTGCGTATCCCTGCACTTACACGGGCCGTGGATTTGGGCCGTGGTGCTGACTAATTCCTCTTCGTCAATTACAAAACACGTATGTAATGTTCGTCATCTTTACTATACACGTGTGCTGATATGGGAAATTTAACAGCCACATAATGAATTCTTGTGTAATGTGTTGTATCATGAACACAATGTTAGGAGCAAAGTTCATTCGACTCCTCTTATAATGAATTGCTGGACTAACATGTTTGGTTTATTACATCTAAAGTTCACTAAATACGATAATACAAAATATCTCCTTGATTATTGTTGTTTTTTGTTATAGAGGTTCCCTAAAGTATCCAAATCCTGTGCATTTAAAATCTGAGTACATGAATTTGACCTGAAAATAACAATTCTTAGTTTGATGTATGCATTTTTTATAAACACTTTCAGGAGATCTCTGTTGATAGCTCTTGCTTAATAGACTTTTGATTTACGTGTCCACACTCAAAACTTTTAGTGGTATTGATATCATTGATAAACTCTTTTTCTGTTAGTAGACTTTCTTCATTTTTATCTTCTTTTACATCCCACCTTTTTTACTTTTTTGTTCTGAAAGGTTATTTGACAGTACAAACAATGTTTTAGCTGAATGGGATGTCATTAGTTTTCATCTTGCAGTCCGTATTGATTAAGTATTCACATTCAACAGACTAGCTGTAGATGAGCTGAAACAATGGTACTTTCGTAAATGGTACGTACAATGGTACGTACGTAAACAATGGTACAGTAGTACTTTCCTTTCGTCCCTTTCATTCGCCCCGAATGCTAAGAAAATAACTCAGGATATCCACCGTCTGCAAATACTTGAAGTGTTATGGAATTCGCAGATCGTTATAACTGGATTGAAGAGTTTACTATAACCGAATCATTTAGTAGTTATTTATAACAAGAAAGGCTCCATTGAAATCCAAAATTTAAAAATCGTAGAATCTTATTAAACACCGAAACTGGTTTGTGGCGAAATATATCAGGAATCAATTCGCTCTTAGCGAAGGCAAAAAATAATGATCGTGATGCATCTACCAACATATTATATAAATTATTTATTGTCCGCATTTGTGTTTTATTCATCTTTATCGAACTTCGGGAGGACACTTCGACAATCCTGAAGAAGAGTCGGTAAACATTTTGTATCTGCTCCTAACTACTTTTTGTGGTGACGATGTCGGTTACATATCGTTCAATTTTCTTTTATTAGTATATATGTCAGTGCTATATTCGACCTAAGTATTCTGTCTCGAGTAACTGAATCCTTCTAAACTCAAAATACTTTAATTTTAAATGAAAATAAAATAAAATATATTTTATATTTACAGCTGTTGCAGCCGAAAAAGGAACATGCAACATTCATTAATCGGCGTCAACAGAATCAACTGATCAGTGCGAATTGCCACGTAATAAAAACTAAGACATCAGAAAGCTCTACGTGTCTACAAAATGCAGAAATTTCACATCCCACATCAAAAAATGTACCAGTAAAATATTCAAAATACTAAAAAAATGTATAATTAATTATTAAATAAATCACTTATTTAAAATGTTGAAAACAATTTGTTATATTTTCCTATTGCAGTATGTATTAGACCATGGAATGACGGTAACTAATATTTATTGCATTTTTTTCAATAAACGTGTTGTTGAAAATATTCAATAGGTTATTGAAGCATTACACATTGGAAAAGTAGTAAATTTGATGAATTTTCAAGCATACTTGATATACAAAAAATTATAAAAAATTTTGTTATGGGATTGGATCGCTTGCTTTTTACTTAAACAGGAGAGCAGGTAGTATACATGAAAGTAAATAAAATCCATGTTTTTAGAGTTAAGACGATTGTAAGCGTGTTCTTCGAAGAGACGAAGGAGAAAAACTCACCCTCTCTAGCTCTCTCTTCCTCCCTTTCACATAGAAACATATAATTATCGTGCGGCTACCTTTTCTCGACGTATATACTTTATAAAAAGTGTTACAGATTTGTATTGCTTTAATGTTTTTGAAATAAATAGCGTAAAAGGGTTCATCATACTTCAATCAATTATGCCTTATTTTTCGATGGCGAGGCTCAGGCCTTGAGGCCTGCTCATCCGCCTGACCACGCAAATTCCGCTACTCTCCTTTCACCGTCTGGAGGAGAAAGAAGGTAACACTCGGGCCACGAAACGGGCGATTTGAATTGTGCTCAGAGGCTTCATTTACTCTTGAGGATCTATTATCTGCAGTAAATCTCCAACATGGCACACCCGTCTATATATCCCCTCCGTAGGAAGGCATACGAATGAGTTTGTCGCCCTTAATAATCCACGCCTGCACTTACAAATTCAAATGCACAGCTTCGATGGGGCTTAAAACGCAAACTTAGGTATAATAGTCCGATACACTAACCGTGTGCTGTGCGCAAATTCCGCTACGCTCCTTCCACCGTCTGGCAGAGAAAGGAGGTATCACTCGGACGACGAAACGGGGGATTTCAATGTTTCCCAGAGGCTTCATTTAGACTTGAGGGCCTTATACGTGCAGTAAAACTACAACATGGAACACCCAGCTTTACTTCTCCGAAGGAAGAAATTCTAAGGATTCTTTTCGTCCTTAAAACTCCACAGCTTTGATCGGGTTGGAACCCGCGAACATGGATATGCTAATATCGGATATGCTAACAGTTACATCACATAAGCTACTAACGTAAACCGACAGTAAAGAAATATTATATTGTAACTAGTGACCTGAAACAGGAATATTGCTGCTGAACGAAGTCACACAATCTCTTTGCAGAAAGTAGCACGCACTCTATTGAACAATGACAGATAATTGACTCCCATATAACACAACAAAAATTAAATATTTTAACAAAGATACGAATATTCACGAATACTTAATATATTATGAAATATTTAATTAAGCTAAATTAGCTACATTACGCTAAATTGTGTAGCTTTGTTCAGCGGCAATTTTTCTGTTTGAGTTCACTAGTTACAACATATTTTTCTTTACTATCTGTCGAAATCCTATACCATCTTTCATGTTATTTCAAAAACATAAACGCAATAAAAATACTTCAATATTTTTATAAATTTAATACTGTAAGTTTGCAAGCTAAGCTTTGAAGCAAAAGCTTATATAAAATTCAAGACCTTCACATATTAACATTTTATTTACATCACTTATTTCTACTCAAAACCGTTATAATCAAAATATTCACAGATATGTGAGAAAATGAATTATCTTGACAAACCCTTTATTTTTCAGCGGGTAACAAAAGCCCAATATTAGAATAAGGATTCTAATATCTAAAATATCATTGAATGAAACATGGGATCTTGTATAGTAAGATAAACCATAAATAAACTTTTAATAATGTTGAAATATTTTTAAAGCCTCAGTCATAGGTTTACATTATTGTACTTTTACAATTATTTACTTTTATTGTAATTTTTGCAATTAATACTAAATTTCGAAATAATATATGTCAAATATGTTTTAAAACACAAAAATTCGAAAAAAGGATATTCTGAAGAGTAACACAGCGATAATTCGTCACTGTTAGCTTATTAGTAATTCATTAGACGTATAAAGATGTGTTTAACGAATTAAATATGGTTTTAACTCGAGAGTAGTTTACAATATGTCAACAATTTTCAAACAGCTTTAAAATATCACGTTTGAAATGTTTCATTATAGAAAGTTTTGAAGAAAATTCATAACAATGGCATAGTATAAACATCATATTGTCAGTTCTGACAGATGAAGGTTTACCGTAACTAAGTTACACAGGGCAGGCCAAATTTCTATACAGAGCGGACGTAGTTTCATCGTCTATTCAAAATTAAAAAGTATTACTGACTAAAATTATTTAATTTTCAGTTGCAATCACTAACAACAACGCTTATTGTGTGGTAAGTGAGTAAACTATGCTTTGTGTATTTTTTTTAACATTTGTAAAAATGTATGAGGCAAATGTATTCTCATTTGAATTTGTTGACATTCATTAAATAATTTAAGCATCAACGTTTAGTATTAAAACTTATAAAAAATAAAATAGACTTACAATAGATAAAATCTAGCTTTTAAAACAGCACAGCTTTTTTATGTATTTACTTGTACTTAGTGTGTCGTTGTCAGTATTCAAAATAAAAGGGTCACAAATGCAATTCAAAATATAAATGAAATGACTCAACTGAAATATTTATTTCAAATTAAGTGAATTCTAGAATTTTGTAGAAATTTAATGAGAAAATAAAACAGAATTAACAATCAACTTAAGTAGATGTAATATATGATATAATAAAAACAAAACTATTTCATATAATGCTCGTATAAGCAAACTAGTGATGAAAAAAATGAAAAGCGTCCTTAATTTATTTAAATTAACACACCTAATAATATTCACAAAAGTTTACGGTATCTTGAAATACTTGAATAACTATGGAAACATTCCCAGTTACCTACACGTTTATTTTATAATTTGCGACAAAAACATATAACCTGATAAAGGTGTTCATGATCCTAGAATTGGTTGAGAATTCACGTATGTCGAAGGTAAATTAGTAGTAATTGTAATTTACAGCTTTATTCATTTTCAGAATGTTGATGATCTTCATCTACTAGCCATATCCAACGTCCTTGACTCATCCCTATAAATTTGAGAAGGTTCGAATTCACCTTCCTAGAATTCCAAAATGTACTGCTGTTCAGGTTGCTGGTAAGTAAAAATACAAAATATCTGGTGTTATTTCATCAAGGTAGAATTCCTACAAGAACAATATTTTGGATTAGGATGATCAAAAAATACGTAAAGTAAAATAAGTTCTCCACATCGTAAATTATCTTTTCTTTCGAAAATTGTTGCATTGCTGACAAGAAATTGATTTATTCTCACGTTCATAAAAATAACCATCAAATAGTATAACTAAATAGTCAAAATCAAATAACGAAACCTTATTGCGAAAATCATATTTTTCTTTGGAAAAACTATTTTCAGTAGGCATTTCATAGAACCAGAATAGCATACAATAATAAGACATTATTCTATAAAAATATCGTTTCAGAAGAGGCAGGTATTCTTCACATAATTTGCAAAAAGCATCCGTTGTGAATATTTCTATAATTTCATATAAAATTCTATGTCGTTCCCTCATCTTATTAATTTTTCTGCAGGGCACTAGTTACGTACTGTTTTCAAAAGTATTACTGGAAGAAAATCATCAATGTTTCTCCTAAAAATCTTGAAAGAACAGAAATGTCAGTTTATTTTTTAAATAACGTACACGGTTTAATTTTTGCATTTTAAAAACTAAATATAAAAAATACAAATTTCGTTGTTAAAATCCAGAAATAATTTATTTTATTCGAATTGGGTATAGTAGGTATTTTTTAATTCAATAACACTCATCATATAAACTTTTTTTTATATAATGGAATTTATATATCTTATTTCTATCGAGTGGCAATCATCAAAAATCACGAAAATGGGTGATATCTAAAAATATAGTTTGCAATACCTTCAAAATGAACTTCGGAATAATGCAGGGCTGATAAGAAGAGAAAATATTAACAAATTGTAGAGCAACAGCAATGACATTTACTCGTGTAGAATTAAAAAAAATTCTGTGGATTAATACGAAGAATAGTGGATATTCTCATTTTTTTAAATATGAAAAATGAATTGCGAAATCTAAAATATGGAAATGATACAATTGCGTACTAAAAACGTAGCTACATTGTGGATGGAAAAGTTTTTAACAATACAAGGGAATCTTCAAACCAAAAAGAGAGTTTTATTTTTAAAGTAATAAAATTTATAAGACACAAATCATGATTGTAATGATTTTTGGAGAATAAACTTAACTACTTAAAGATAAGAGGAAGAAAAGAAAAAAATAGTGTATTATGAAAGACGGCAATCCATAAATTGAAATAATAGTTTCATAAAAGAGCCCGTAACTCTGAAGAATATTGAAAAAGGCACAAAGACACATTATGAAGAAGTAGATTTTCGAACTTTAGGATATCAAGAAAATAACATGAACTAATAAATAAAATACTACGGCTTCAACTTACTTAGAAAAAGTAAAGAAGGAATACTTATTGAATATCAAAATAATATTGTAACTTGTAGAACAAGAAAGTAATCGAAGAAGTGAATGTTGATCTTCTATCAAAGACATTTATTACAAGATTTGCAGTTGATAAAGTTTGCAATTTTCGAAATCGGAAATACTTTCGTAAAACGATAACGTTGCCTCGCCATCTTCCAGCCCACCTCCCGTCTGCGCTCAATGCTGCAACCCGTGCTGCACCCCATGCTGCCCCCCATGCTGGGAAGACTTTCCCCCGTGCAGCAACCCTCCCAGCCGCCCTCCGAGCAGCCCTCCCAGCCGCGCGCCCAGCTGCTGCAGCCAGTGCTGCGTCCCGCCCAGCTGCCCGCCGCCGCACCCCTGTTGCCAGTATTTCGAACCGGACAACCCCGACGACAAAGAGTGCTTGCGCGGCTATCCTCCGCCCACCTACTGTTTCCCGACCACCTTGACGCGATGTTGCTCCTCGAGGAGGCCGCGCGCCATCCACAGCTCGCTCACGGACATCGACGAGGGCGACGGAAACGGCAACGGCAACGGCAACTGCAACGGAAACGGGAACGGCAACGGCAACGGCAAGAGCCGCAACGGGAACGGCTCGCGGCGCCAGTCGCAAGACTGCATCCCGCAGCCGCGCTGCTACCCGTCGCCGTGCTGCCGGCCCGTGGTGCCGCGCTGCCGCTCGGCCTACCCGCGGTCCTGCCACTGCATGCCCTGCTGCCGCCCGCCCAGCGGCATGACCCGCTGCCCGCTGCCGTGCGACGACGGCAACGGCTTCGAGGAGGACGAGGAGCCGCCCCCGCGCTGCCGACACCCGTGCCTGGGCTTCTAGAGCGTAGGGCCGGGGCAGCGAGCGACGAAGCGCGGACGCGCCTACACTTGCGTGCCATGATTGCAGTTGCGGCGGCTGCGGCTGCGGCTGCGGCTGCGGAGGTTGTTGCTCGGGCGGGAACTGCGGTCCCGTGGGCCGCTACTGGTCGCTTTGTTCCTGTGGATGCGCTTGCAACAGCTGTCACTGAAGGCTCGTCTGGAAGCGAGGCTTTTCCTGGCGAGCCTCAGATGTCACGCACGTAAGGGTGATGCGTCGAGCAACGCGCACCAGGGCCGTGTGGGGATGGAACGCGGGACGGGACCTGTCCCCTGCTGTCGACCGGGGATGGAGTCGGTTCCTCCACGTGAACTGGTACGTACGAGCAAATGGATTATTTTGTTCCTTTTTTATATTCCTATTTACTATAGCATGGTCTTGCTAATTACAGTTACCACTACGATAACTTAATATTAAACATGCTATAGATTCTTCTGAGACAAATCAATTCATTGAAATATCGGCTTCACCAATGTAATCAACAAAATGTTAAAAAGCATTTTATTCCAAAATGAAAATTTTGTAACAATACACTAAGGTGAAAAGGTGAAATTAACTACAAACTTCTACTTTTGACAGATATTCCCGTGACCTCTTATAATCCCAAGATCATTACCATCACACATTTTCTATTTTGGCTGCTCTGTGTGTGGAACTCCATACTTCAAAAATCTTCAAGCATACATCATGGAAGGTATGAAAGAAATCATATATAAGAAAATCAATCAATCTTGAGTATGAAATTCAAAAATACGACAATAACATAAAAAGAAAACTTAATTTTCATGATAATTCAGAGTCACTTTTCAAAAATATAATAAAATTGCTTTCATATTAAGTCCATACAAGGGAGATAAACAATACATTTATAGTTTGACAAAACGCAATATTTAATAGTATGTTAATGTTTGCAGCGTTGTCTCGGCATTCTGACCAGTTAGAGGCTTCGTCGTCGAGGTTAGCGTCAATAGAAACAACCAAGCCCTCTGAATTACGTCTGTGCCTCCACAGGATGGGAACATGAAATGTAAGAATCAAATGAATACCATCTTTTCAGCAAAGTAAAACAAAAATATAGGTATAATTAGAGTATTATTTTCTAGACTTATCAGATCAAAATAAGTACTTAAAAAGTTCGTGAACAACTTCCTTCTAGAATTGATTTTTATTATAATGGTCAATACTATTTGTTTATTTTCCCCCCATTACAAATTTTCATGTAGGCGGGAATCTTTAAATTATGTAAAATCAGCATTTTGGCATTTATATAAAAATCTCTAGGTAACTTAAAACATGCAATTCACTTTTATTTAAGTATCTAGTTGCAATCAACGCAATTGTTGGTATACGCGCATAATGTGTTTAATTTTATTATAGGAATAACAATAGTAGTCGAGTAAATTGCATTTTCACTTAATAGCATACAAATATCTAATGGATGTTTGAAAATTTATCTTTCGTTAGTTGCACACGTAAGTCAAAACTTCACTTGCACACCCGTTACAATAACAGTTGATCATTAAAACCCCATCTTAGCATTTGTTTTATCGTATTGGGTTACGAGTGTACACACTTACAATTCCCTATGGAAATTTTAATAACAATGTCTCTTATCTTCGCCCCGTTTTAGTTTCCTACATACGCTACAACGTAATGAATTGACCACACGTTGTAGCAATCAGTGCAAAGAAAGTTACCATAATTGCTTACCTTTAATTTACATGACATTTGTTGTGATGCACGACAAATGAAATTTTTGACTTATAGAAAAAAAATCCCTAATTTGATTTTGATATTCGTCGATCCTTAAGCGATTTTCTGAACATAGTCACTGAGCAGGTACTCAATTTTGACTTGCAATTTCCATATATTCACAACCGAATTTGAATGCCGTACAATTATATAAATAATGAAATTTCAAAACGAAATTATGAGTTTTGTTATTAGCTAGGAATTTCAAATATAGTATAACTGTGGCACGATAATTCTGCGATTTTTCGCAACTCTACCCCTGTCAGCTATCAGCTCTTGACAGTGTCATCCAATCGAGGGCTTGAACATCACCGTTATGACATAGTGTCGTTCAAGCTCCTGATCGGATGAAACCGACAACAACTGATACCAGCCAGGGGCATAATTGCATAAATCGCAAACCTGGTAGGTTGGCGTCGGATCTCGCCGTATAGCGGCGAAAAGATAATTGCTGCCTCCCGAGCAAAAAACATTCATCACACTTACGGGACTAATGACCCTAGTAGTTGACGTGCCCGGATTCAAATACGTTCTAAGCTCCCGATCGGATGAAACCGTCAACAGCTGATACCTGCCGGGGCCATAATTGCATAAATCGCAAACCTGGTAGGTTGGCGTCGGATCTCGCCGTATAGCGGCGAAAAGATCATCGCCGCCTCCCGAGCCAAAAACATGAATTACACTTAAGGAAATAATGACCCTAGTAGTTGACGTGCCCGGAATCAAGTAAATGAATTGATTAATCGCAGTATAGTCCTATTAACTGAAAATCGCCCGCTTGTGCCGCAGGGCGCCGGCGGCGCCATCCTCCCGCGAGCCAGCGGCCGCGGGCTGCCTGGCCCGGTCCCGCCCGCCTCTGCGCCCGCCGGCACCACGCCCGCTTGCACCCCCGCTTGCGCGGGGGCCAGGGCGCGGCGCGGCACAGCGCGGCGGGCAACCCTTCCATCACGGCGGCGGTTTGCCCCTTCGCGCGCACCTTCTCTTTTTTTTCACACCCCTTTTTATTTTGTATTTTTTTTTCTCTTCGCTTTTCACTTCCGGTTCCCAAGTCAAGTGCTTTCAAGTGTTCAAGTCCATGGATCCGCCGCGACGGGTGGGTCCTCGGGCGCATGCACGTCCGGGTCGCCGGCCTGCCAGCACATCGCCCTCGACGCGAAGCCGCACCCCATAAAAATGAGAAAATTTGTTAACATTTTTTTAAAAAACTTTTTTGCTCTGGTTACAACATCAATAAATGGCTACTCCGCTCTGAGATGTGTGTCTGTTTTCGTGTGGACAAATGTAATTGCCGCCGGCCTGGATAGCCGAGGTCGCTAAGGATGAAGGGCCGTAGCTGCCTCGGCCCGAAGGACGCCGGTTCGAAACCCTGCTCGGGCATGGATGTTGTCTTTGCGTGTTCGATCTACAGTTTCTCCTACAGTTAAAACAAACACAGTGGTCGCTATATGACCAATTTGTTAAAAAGCTATCTAAAAGTATTTGCTGAAACTAGAAGGTAGTAGAAGAACATTGAAATAATTTTTGCAACCTATGCTTTTTAAAGCAAAAATTGCTAATATTATAGATTTTTATATCATTAGCAAATAACAGGAAATAGTTGAATTACACATGAAATATTGTAGAGCAAATCATTTTATTGAACTATGTGAATGGCGGGGGACGGAGAATCTGTATGGAAGGGCTGTTGACGCAACGAACAAAATTGGATTTTCACATTCACATTACATGGATAATACGGATAGCAAATCATTAGTATATCCTTTTAATGTCACATAGCGAATTATTTGGTTTATGAGAGCTGAAATGACAATTCACAAATTATATCTGCAGTTTTAATAATTGTTGGATGGGCATTTAATACTAGGAATCTTAAGAAAAAACAATAACACAGAATGTATCTTCTAAAACAACTTTAATAAAAAATGTCGGTTCATATTAAATATGATAACAGTTAAGATATGTTCAAATGGCGTTTTTAAATGAAGCTGAAGGCCTATAATTGAAATAAGTGACACGTGTACTTTACGACATTGAGTAAGATTATGGGTAACTGGTAGATAAGACATATTTTATAAAGTGTGATTGTTGTGTAATTTGCGCCCATTTTATTGAGATCTCATTTCGCTAGTTGCGAAAGAAGTGGACAGTTTTTTTTATTATGAACGCAGATTATTATGAATATCAAAGCCAGCAGCTTATTCGATTCAAATACTTCTACCCTACGGGAGTGAACATCTCTTAAATCAGATGTCAAAAACGCTTGTTATATTTTTTCGTAATTCAACTACGTTGGTAAAGGGAAATATTCTAAAGCTGAAGAAAAGAGAGCGTGTAATACTTTATACCAAAATAGAAAATACTTTTACTGCGTACAGGAGATAAGTAGCATATCAAGATTTCGTATGAAGTGAATTTAAAATCAGTATTTCAAGAACAAAATATTTTACTTATTTTAAATAGAATCGCAGCTTTTTCGAATTAATCCAGAAAACAAATTTTCACTATTACACAAAGACCACTGATTAGATGACCTTCGTTATAAATACGGCACCTGATTCCTATACCGGTGGTACTCTGGGTCTCACAGATCCATTGTTTTTTTTGCCGGTATTTCTCTTTAGAAATATGTGATTTTATTCAGGAATTGAGATTATATGATCGTTTGTATTATTTAGAAACTGGACTCAAATAATTTTTCACATTTTCGTTAAATATTATTGCAAATATAAAGGAAATGTACTTGGTAAAAAACTATATTTTAGATACTTTCAGACACAGAAATGTGGTATGCATCTTTAAATACATGATTGTCTTTGCACTTTCCACGAGAATATTGACTTTTATTGTCCTTGCATAAATAAAAAAGTCCCTCTTTGCTAATCTCTGGTCTTCATGCTGTTCTTTTGCCAGCAAAAATAAACTTATATGGTCGGTTCGCTGGGTCCAACAGTCTCAAAATCACTACAAATAGGCACTTCTATTGTGCGGGCACCGTAAGGAACAAAACAGGTTAAACTCTTGAAAATTCCTCCAAACTTTAACACACAATAATTAGCAAGTATATGGATGTAAAACATGTAACGATTAATTGTGTACTCGTATTAAAGGGAATAACAAACCACAACAAAATATACTTGTACAATTATTATAATATTCTTAAACGTAGATAAAGACATTAAACATTCGTCTGGAGTGGTACTGAGCTCTGAACACTTTTGAACTATTTTCCTCTTAGCACATTTATTTGAATGTATACAAGGTGAAAGGACAAGCTAGAAGTAAGAAATTACTCGTTATAATAGAAGTAAGAAACATTTAACTGCCATGTCAATACATTTAATCGCATTCGTTCATTCATTAATTACTGGAATATATATCTTCATTTTCTTAAAGTAACGCATGCAGTTGGGACAGTTTTGAAGGTACGTTAGGAAGCCAAAACTAAAGCATTTATGAGGCCTTGTTGCTACCAACATCTTTTACCCTCAGAGGCCCTATATCTTAAAACACAAACAATGATATGTTAAATACAGAATTTTTTCCGAATTGATCACTTACGAAGAATAATGTATTATTCGGCGCTCCAAACCTAACAAAATGAAAGCGTCAAAAAATTCTGTATCAAATCCGTAGTGCAATTAATTCCGAAAATCGATCCCTCCCGAATATTTCAAGTTGTACAAATGCACCAAACAGATGAAGGTCGTGAATTGCCATTGCCCTTAACACACGAAAATCAAAGAATAATAGAGGTGGGTTCCACAGACTATGTTTCCAAGAAAGGGCTAAATAAAAAATAGTATCTCAACATCTGACACAACAGATAGCTGGGAGTAGACGGGCTTTTGACATATTGACCATTATGTACCATTTTGTAATACATGTATTTGTATCTTTTTCTTTTTAATACCATTTCGTTTTACTTGAGTACTTCAAATACTGTCTATTATCTGTACTAATCAAGTGGTCACTCATGATCTCGTTGTTAATGCGACCTCAATAAATAATTTTAGAAAACGATGACTAAAGATCTACTGGCCAATGTGGCTGGCTTAAACAGGAATTTATGGTCAACAACTAACATATAATTTGGACATTTTACGTGTGTTACCTGTGGAATAACCACATTTGTCCAGAGTAGTTCCATTTTCACTAGCACCCCTCCCTTCTAAATGGATTTGACCTCAATCAAGATAACATATACGTATTGGCAGTCGTACCGAATTACAGATCCGTAATAACTCTTTTCTTAGTTCTATAATATTTATTATCTACATTTGCTTATAGTTTCTTGGCTTTTCTCGTTTGTTTTGTATACTGTAGTCAAGCAACGATAGAAATAGTTTGCTCTCGAAGGATAAGAAAAACAAAATTCATGTCTTCCCTCACAATCAAGCAAATTTGTAAAATTAACAAGTTCTTTGGTAACATCAATAAAAAGAATATACTAACCATCATGAAAGGCAGCAAGTAATCCGTAAATTTGGGTAAATATTTGCATTTCTAACACGTGTAATAATGAGTAGTTCGTATTAATTGCACTGAACCATCTTCCTTTTATTTAGAAACATCTGCCATATAACGCCATGGACATGCTTATAATCTGTAATAACCCTTCATGACTGTCTAAGGTTAGACATGAGGTAAGTAATTTAGAAATGTGTACTTGCCATTACCTTCTTGTACGTGAAGTCATTGGTAAGGGAATATCTGCTGAGTTAACTAACTTAGTCATCTTACATTAATTTTTGTAATTGAATAAACTAAACAATATTTTATTGTATTGTATTATGTACATTATACATAGTTAGCTAGGTTTCTTGTTAACTGACATTAAAACAAAAATATTCAGAGTTAAAATATAGCGTGTTAATTTGATAATTTCATTCACCTTCATTTTAGTCCAACTTCGTACGGACGGTGAGTATTTCATCTAAACCTTGACGTGACAAACTGCGCGCCTATAACCAGCCATGATGAATTCGCAGAGCATCGAATGCGAATGTGGGTGAGTCAATTGTTAATATAAATGCTATATTAATTGTGAAAATTAATATTTTCAGTACACAATATATCTTCTCTATTGCTAAACTGATACAGGTTGGTGAATACAATTTCTTAATCAGTGTTTGTAAGGTAAATATTTCTGTAGCAAAATATTGGAATGTACCCAAAATTTGTAAACAAAGCTCTTTGGACATTTGGGAAACTATTGCGGAAAAATACTACATATTTTATCTACATTTTTTGTTGGCATACACAGAGCAAACATTTTATAAATGTACCAATCGGACGGAAATTTGGTCTTGGCCACGAGGCCATGGATGCCGGGAAAACCTTGACAGGGTCTCGGAAGGATCACCGAAGAGGGAAGGTGGCTTTTCGCTTCCGAGAAGGTTAAACTGTACTCGCGTTATAGTAGATAGTGGAACTTCTCATGTCGGCTCTGATACATTCTTGACATCTAAATTAGTTCTGGTTCACTCGGTAATGAATGTTCTGTGGTATTGCAGAGATCTGTTTTAGTATATTGTGCCTTACTACGTCCTTGTGGGGAGTTGCCACATTCTTCCCAAAGAGGAATCCCCGAGGAAAGAAATCGCATGGAGTCAGATCAGGAGATTATGCAGGCCAAAAACTACGTGTGATAATTTTGTCTCCATAAACGGCATGTAAAACTGACGCAGTTGCAGAGTTCTGTTTAAAATTACCGTAATTGCGCTCTGAATTCGTCAAAATTTGGAAGAAATGCTTCAGGATACGACGTACATAACTGACACATTTTATCAACAAGTCAAATACAAACACTTCATGTTTGAGAGAGAACTTCAATAGAGCCATAACAAACAGACTCAACTAGACTACTCTACAAGACTAAACAGCATGCCTTTAGCAGGGCAGACGTAGAAACCCCGCAGTGTTCCCACGAGAGTTTAGTGCACCGTTCCTCGACGAGCGAGGTCTCGTCGGGAGAACAGAGTTTGTCACGATCGCGGGTCAATAATAAAATAGTCACACTGTACAATAGAAAGCAGAAAGTGAAAATTACGTAGATATTTTGGATTTCCTCGATCTATACGCTATAATTTATTTTTGTCTTTACGTGTATTGGGCCAGAAAGTCTCTTCGATTTCAAATGTTTGGTAGCAGGTGCTACACGATCATCTGAAACGAGTTTTACATAGTACACTGCATTCATAATAGAGAAGTCTTGTAAACTGAGAATATTCCATCTCACTGCTTTAAAGTTGAACATTATTTAAAAGAGAAATCACATTATAATCGCAAAGAAAACTAGTTATTCAAATTTTAAAAATGTCATATCCTTACACACACACACACGCTATCATGCACTACACGCTTAGAAAGGTCGGGAGACCATTGAAGAGTTAATCTCAGCAGCGGTAATACACCACTAGGGGAGATACCAGAAAGAGGAAATGCATGCAAGGCATCGTGTAGGCCGGGCTGGATCTCATATTCTAACAAGCGAGGAACATCACCACATCGGCTATAACATTCACTACAATCACGGGGCTAATGACCAAAGAAGTTGACGCGCCCGTAAACAAAATGCTCGCTAATGATTATCTTTTGCGTTAGTGATACGACCGAGCATAACCACAAGCTTCTGAAAGTTATGGTTTTACAAAAGCTAACTCTTTTGGGCAATTATCCAGTATCTTTTTCTGCAAAATCATATAAGAAACTTCGTCTTCATCCTGTAGTTCAGAACATGCCGATTTTTATTATTTTGAACTATACATTTTTCTGGTCGTTATTTAAAGACAATTTTTTCTTAGCTCCCTTCTTATAAAACTTTTATTAAAAAACGTTTTTTAAAGATAACATCGTTTATGGATATTATTTCACCTCATTATCAAGTTCCATTATGTAACAAAAAAATAAAACCCTACTACCATACCAAAATATACTACTACTTCAAATGATTTCAAAATTTTACGTTCTAAAATATAAATAAATTCTTACAAACCTCTCAACAACATAAACCTCACAAGGCACCTGTAGCAAATATAAAAAGTGTGTTTAAAAATGTTTATAATGTGTACTAATTTATTTGTATTATAGAATGTAAAATTTTGAAATCATCTGAAATAGAAATAAATTGGTTTTATTTTTGGTTAAGTTATAGAACCTGAAGATGGCATTGAATAACATCGAGAAATGTTATCTTTAAAAACCTTTTTGTAATAGAAAAATTATACGAAAGAAGTAAAGAAAATGTTGATTAAAGTAGAGTACACGGTACGCCCTCAGAGAAGCGTGGCGGTGGGGGGGGGGTGTCTCCTTAAGCTCTAATTACGTGCTCTGACAGAAATGAATAAAACTTACGTATAGGCGATTTTCATGGTTCGCCCTCCATATGCTTTGTCCCCGCCGCATTGTAACACCAATTTACTTTCAAAGGCAAGTTTTCTCGCTTCGCTTGCCCGGATTCAAGTCACGGCGAGGCTTGAGCCTCCAGCCCTCGCGTTCACTATACCCATCCTTGAGTCTATCCACCGCATCATTACCAATTCACTTTTATAAGAAATCACTTTTCAAGAAAGCCTCCAGAATTCAAACACCCGAGTTAACGCCGGAGCGAAGTGCCAGTTTAAAACGACTTCCGTAAGTTATACCGTATACTAGACTTCAGCTATTTAATTATCTTTTAGGTATTGGCCAGAAATAATATATTGTTCAAAAATAATTAAAAGACAAATATAACTACACAAATGCCTGACGAGCATGTGATTGGTGGCGCAGGTGCTGGAACATCGTGGTGAAGGTGGTGCCGCCCGGGGAGCCGTGCCCGTGGTGCGGCAGCTGCGAGCCGCACGACAGCTGCCCCGAGAAGCAGCGCGCGCTCGAGGTGGCGGCGGCCAAGGCGGCGGGCCTGCCCGTGCCGCCCGTGCAGCAGCCGTGCAAGCAGGAGGGCGAGTGCGACCGCGAGCGCAACAAATACAACATCTTCCAGTTCGAGCGGTGAGCTGCCGCGCGCGCCACACCCTCGGCCTCACCGCGACAATCCACGACGCAGCTTGCGATTATGTAAAGGACGCAGTTTCTAAAACTATAAGTTCAAATCTCATCGAACGTACGTTTAACTGGAGTTGGAGGTTGAAATGCCCATACCAAATGTCAATTTATCAACACTCGGAGTAAAAAAAAATTCTGTAAATGTTCATGTCCGTTAAATGTATTACAAAAAATGTTATCCAGTAGAAAAAGGACCATCGTAATCGATGATATTTTTGCTTCTGAGGTCATTCGTCTGTCTTAAATTGTTACACTATTTTCCATGCTAACATCTTTGAATATTATTTTGGTCTGTTTAGCTCTTTGTATCACAGATCTACATACTATTATTCGGTTGATTTTACTTTGTTAATCATTGGTATTTATTATAACGTTGTTTCTGGAGATAACCTTGGCAAAATTTCTTCACTTCCTGTTTGTCGAATGAATTTTCTTAAAATTCTTGTAAGTTCTTCATAAGGAGTCTCTGCAGTTATTTTTTTGAATGTTGCTTGAGTTGCAAAACTACCACTGCAGAAGGATATGCTCCATGTAAATATGTCCTGCATTTTCTCCCTAAACTCTAGTTCAGGGAGGAAAAAGTATTGGAATCACCTCATCAATACAGTATCAAATTTTCGGTCAGAAATACCGTATTTCTTTCGAGCTGTAACGTGACTTGCCCTATTTATACGATTTACTACGAATACATTCGGATTTATTTTGTTCTACTCCATCTCGCATCTTTTCAAAAATGACTTTTATTATTTCTGAGAGGTGGCATATGCCGACTGTGAGAAAAGTTCCGTATCACTGCTGGAAACGGAATACGCACTGCGGCATCCGATATCATGTGTGCATTTTATGGGTTTTCAAATTTTGTGGAGATATCGATACTCATTTTATAATCATTACTAATGTTTTGTGAATAGTATCAAACTATTTGTGAATTTGATGCGCTCATAACACCCTCACTTCAGAAATTACAATTCAAGGCAAGGAATTACGAATTGTTGCATTGGAATTAAATATACAAACTATGTTGTTTAAAGATGAAGAATTATAGAAAATAATCTGTTACACAAGCATAGCTGCGGGAAATATTAATATTTAGAAATGGTTTTGCTGAATTTCAATTATATATTTCAAGTCGTTGAGAAAAAGATTAAATTAATAAAACTAAAATTATCATAAATTCCTTAAATCTGAAGTTATGTTTTCAAAGCATATAATAATCCATTTGATACACATTTTCAGGTATCAGTAAAACGTTTGTATTAAATTGATTTTTTGTCGTCTAGGACACACAAAAGCGTCCAGGAACATAAAAATATTCAGTGTACAAATAATTTTGTACGTAAATGATAATTATATATTATTTTGTCACTTTAATTACTTTAATGAAGGGAACACGGAAGTGTCCCTGGCGTAAGTAAGTAAGTGCTTTTCCAAGTTACTTTTCCGTAAGAGACAACTTGTTGGACGAGCATCTTCAGCATTGATAACGTTTTGTTCGCGGTAGTTTTACTGAACAATTTCGAATTGAATCCGAGGAATGTTGTCGGGAGGGCATTCAAGTGAAATTATTGAGCATATTTGCTAAGTGAGAATGATTACGGGGTAGGTTTGATGAGTATAGTAGCCGGGTAAGGCAGATTAGATTAATGGGCGGACGGAGGTGATATTTGGTGGAATATCAACTGAGACTTTTGAGACTTCATCAACAACCGCTTCACAAGGATGACTCGAATATGAAGCAACAGGCTATCTGGGAAAAGCGCACTTGCGAGAGGTATTTTTTAATGAATCCATCGAGAGTCCACAATTATGGATAGAAACACTAATCTATTGGATTAGGTTGCGTTGGAAGTCGTTAGGACAAAAACTATAGAGACAATACAGGACCCTCGGCGATACAACGGGAGACACAAGCTAGCAATCCTACTGGCCCGACGTATCATAATCATTGTGATAGGTCGGGCAGACAGGCATGGAGGGCAGACAGGCAGGTAGGGCAGACAGGCAGGGAGGGCAGACACGCAGGGAGGGCAGACACGCAGGGAGGGCAGACAGGCAGGGAGGGCAGACAGGCAGGGCTCACAGGCAGGGCTCACAGGCAGGGCTTACAGGCAGGGCTTACAGGCAGGGCTTACCAGGCAGGTTTACAGGCAGGCTTACAGGCAGGGTCACAGGCACGGGCTCACGGCACGGGCTCACAGGGCAGGGCTCAACAGGCAGGGCTTACAGGCAGGGGCTTACAGGCAGGGCTCACAGTCAGGGCTAACAGGCAGGGCTCACAGGCAGGGCTCAACAGGCAGGGCTCACAGGCAGGGGCTACAGGCAGGGCTCACAGGCAGGCTAAAGGCAGGGCTCACAGGCAGGGCTCACAGGCAGGGCTCACAGGCAGGGCTCACAGGCAGGGCTCACAGGCAGGGCTACAGGCAGGGCTCACAGGCAGGGCTCACAGGCAGGGCTACAGGCAGGCTCACAGGCAGGGCTACAGGCAGGGCTCACAGGCAGGGCTCACAGGCAGGCTCACAGGCAGGGTCACAGGCAGGGCTAAGGCAGGGCTTACAGGCAGGGCTTCAGGCAGGTTACAGGCAGGGCTCACAGGTAGGGGCTCAAGGCAGGGCTCACAGGCAGGGCTCACAGGCAGGGCTCACAGGCAGGGCTCACAGGTAGGGCTCAAGGCAGGGCTGTGGTGGGTGGGGCTGACGAGCGCGCGGGCCGCTGAACCAGCTGCGACTTGCGGCTGCGGCTCGCTGCACTCCGTGGAGCCGACGAGGAGTGCCCGGCATGCGCAAGCTTGCTGGCGGCGCGCACGGCCAACGACCGGCGCGTGCTGCCGGTGGCGGCGCGTGCTGCGCCACAGCGCTTCAGCAGTACCAGAAGGCGCCCAAGTGCCTCGGCGACTCCCAGTGGGCGCCGTAGGCCAGGCCAAGAGTCGACGGTGGGCGCGGTGGAGAAGAGGGGCGGCGGGCCTGCCGCAAAGCAGGCGTGCGCCGTCAAGAAGGCCCCGGTGCCCGGCCGACGCCTGCCCGTGCGAATGGTCGCGGACAATTAGTGCAGCCCCGGGCGCCGACACAGGCCCGCCGCCGCGTCAGGAAGTCCGCGCGCCGCCCGCGGAGCCGCCCCCGAAGCCGCGGCGAATGCCCCAAGCCCGCCGCCCCCAGCAGCCCCGCAACCGCCAGACCCGGCGAACGCCACGGACGCCCCGTGGGACTAGGAGACCTCTTCGGCTTCTAAGAAAGGTACCCTGGCGCTCCCGCCCAGCCCGACCTACAGAAGAGCTTCTGCACTAATAAACGGCTGAAGGTGATATGTTACAAGTTTTCTTCGTTGTGTATATTTGGAGGTACTTTTCTTTATATTTCTGGAAGTGCTCTTTTAATACGCATTCCTTCCCGTCAGAGTATAACCAGTAGATGGACGTGTCTAGTCCGATGGATAGTCCTTTATCTGAATTGGTGGTTGACGACTGAGAAAAACCTGAGAGTATCATCAAATCCAAAGAAATAATTTGTCAAAGAATTCTAATTAAATGGTGCACAAAAATTGAAATGTATATAATGCTTGAAACCAGCATAGAAAAAACATTTGAAACTTCAAAGGCAAGTACAAAGAAGGTTAAATCAGACTTTTCATTTAATAAAAGAAATTCTGAGAAAGAAATCGAATGAAATTAAATTAAATTGCGACGATGAGAAGACGTTTTAGGATTTTTAATATTTCTTAAATAACCATAACAGAATAATGTCACTTAATGCAAGTGACTATTATCGACTGAAGAAATTCATCGACCAAATTAAGAATATGTAAGCATGTATCAAGGTAATCATGTCCTCATAATCCTCAGAAAATGTTAAAAACTTGCAATTGATGTGAAGATTAAGAGAAAAAAATCCATTTCAACTTGCCAACTTTTGTGAACCGCCTGGTTTTTGTTCGAAAACTGGACACAAAATCCATTTGTTTACATACGTTCGTCGTAGAAACCTGAGAAAAATGGATAAAGGTGTTATGTCAGAAGAAAATTGAAATCTACTGGTATATGGCCCTGTTTCTCACAAAGTATTCTCGCTGAAAACCTCCAACATAGAACGCCTGCAATTTTTCGCAGCATTATATTTAATTCTTGTAACATATCACCTTTATCCATCATCTCTTTAACATTCTAGAGGATGGGTGAGAAACATTGGTGCTCCAAGAATATTCTTTTAATATCTAATTGCGAATGGCAGTCTTTTTCCTATCTGTTAATATATTTCCCTACATTTTACAAAATAATTTTAGTTCTTAGTTAAATGCTTCATAGTTGCTTATATGTCTCCAATAATATTTATTCTATACAACGTATGATTAGAACACTTTTGTGCCGCACCACTTCTATTATTGTTTTTATAGAGGTTAATTATATTGTATACTTCAGTGTGTTATCTGTGTGCATTTGTCGTCTGATATTACTGTTTTATTAAGAAAATGTTTCTCCTGATCTTATAATATCAGTCAAACTACCTTCCCTACCGTAACAAGAGAAGCCAAGCGTCGAAATCTAATGATTTGTTAATCGTGTCTGAGTTCTAAAATCAATGTTTATTCTTTTTTGAAGAAGTAATTAGATGCTTATTTGTATGAAAGAATAAAAGAAAGAGATAGTATCTTCGTGTGACGTAGAAAGTGATGATTTAGTCCATACTTCTTATTCTAATGTTTTGTTACAAATATAATAATTATTTTATGTAGTTACATTTAGCAGATTAGCTTCATTTTGGATATGATAACTGTATTAGAAATGTCAAGAGAATATTCCCGACCATAATAGCTCTTAAAATGTCACTGATAATAAATAAAACATATTATACGTGGTAACATGTGATTTCATGTGATTTTCACTTCAAGGAAAAACACATACCAATAGATATCGTAGAACCTTTCTTCTCCCCCTTATTGCTTATAAGTTAATTTACAACCTTTTGTATGATGAGTATTTTCTCTCTAAAGATTATTATTATCATAATAAACGCAATTAAAAGTAAGAAATCATTGAAAAACCAAAACACATATGAAGAAAAATATAACTCACGTTTATGATGAAATTTGTGCTCTCGGTCCAAAATATTATGAGTCCTTATAGTTCCTGTAATTAAGAAATAACTTACAGTTAATACAAGCAACTTGTCAATCAGTATCTGCAGCTAATTATAGGCAACTGGTGCATCAATACAAACAACATTCATATATTACTTTTTGTATTATATTAGGAGGTATTATTATAAGGGGGATATATAATATATTATATATCTAGTGCAAGCCTGCACAACATTTTGACTGACCTCGGAAGCTGCGCCCTAGCAACTTGTGTGCAATCGCGGGCTGCGTGGATGGGTACTCACAAGACTCATTCTAGGAGTGGGGACCTCTAATGAGAATATGCAGTTCGAACCGTAGTCCGTAAATTCAAAAAGTAATTGCGAGAATATGACGGACAATTACATACGTACAAGTATCATTACCTTTTAATTTGGAAATGTTTTTTGCCAATGTACAACAATGTGAACTTAAAACAAATTAGATATATTTGATTTGGATACCAGTATTATAATTGCTGGTAGAACTGATAATGTTATTTGCATTGCAACGATGTAATCGCAAATTTAGCGTACTGTAAAATACAAAATTGTAATATTTAATCTTTCTCTTTGATAAATAAGTTTATAGACTATTTGTAATTGATTAAGTTTGTTCTATTGAACGTAAAAAATCGTCTTCTCAATAATCATGATTACTTTCTTCTCTAATTTCCGACAAGAGTACATTATATATTTCTAATTTCAATTCAACGAACACTATTTATTCGTAATCGTTTTCGACATCGTATAAAAACGATTAAGACTATTGCATTCTATTTAACAAGACTGATAATAAAGTCACGACTGCCCGTAAAATACCGTAAAAAGTTTTGCTCGTTGATATCTCTTATTCAGCTTCATAATAAGGAAAAATTGCCACAAATGTTTGTTGTCTAACATTACTCCTGTTGGAATTAACTATATTTCATTTTTATAACAATTTCAATGTCAGAGACTGCTCTCAATTACCTCCGTGTTGCTATAATTTGGACATTACAACATTCCTGGTGAAAAATCCATAATTAAATTGTAAATTTTGTTAGTTAAAATGATATAATACATTTTTAAAACTATGAAATAAAATTTTATATTTATGATATTATTTATGAGTTATAATCAGTTATGTTTAAAATATATCTTTAAAGTATTATTTTTGAATTATAATGAGCATGTAGTAAATAATATTCTACAAATGTCGATACAACCAGTTCACAAAAGAACAAACAGTGAAATATGGTCATTGCAGCTAGAAATACGGAAAATCACTTTTTTTAATAAGTGGGCAAATCATTTCACGGCATGGATAACTTGCATTAGGCATTCAATCTATGCGCCGCGTCCACCCCCCTCCGCTCTCCCCCCCCCACCAAGCGCCTACTCCCACTATTTTGCACTTTCGCTCTCTCGCGTGTAGCTGGATGTCAGTCGTAAGTGCAGAACACCCACGGAGCAGGACAGTTCTGCATGGCCTATCATAGGAACAATATATATTTCCAAATAAGGAGGAACAAACATGCATCCTGATTTGACCCATGAAAAATAATTAATTAACTTAATTTATAAGCTTAGAAACTTTATTAATATGCAGTCAACAGAGAATGATACATATTTACAGGTAATGAGTAATGAGTGTGAGGCGAGAGAGGAGAGGGGAGCAGACGGCGGAGAGAGGAGAGAGAGAGGGGGGAAGAGGGGAGAGACGGGGAGGAGAGAGGGGCAGAGAGGGGGGAGAAGGGGGGAAGAGATAGAGGGAGAGAGAGAGGGAGAGAGAGGGAGAGAGAGGGAGAGAGAGGGAGAGAGGAGTGGTTGAGTTCATGGTGTAGTTAATATCCGAGAGATGCATGCGCGAGTCCTGGGGAACCTGTGTTAGGCAGTAAGGTTCTTGCCCAATGTACTTAACAACAACAATGGTTTCTGAATTGACGTGTGTGCGCATGTGGCAGGTGCAAGGACTGCGGGAAGCTGCACTTGGCTGGCGGCACGTGCCCACGCAAGGGCTCCAAGCCGGCCAAGCGCTTCGTGTGCGGCGCGCACCAGGACGTGCTAAAGAACAAGCACTGCCCCAAGGTACGTACATCAATGCTTCATGTAAGTTCTTTTTCGCCTTTTAGGGTTGGATTAATTTGTCTTTTGACAGATAGTGGTGTCCCCAGGCATGGGCCCTGAGGGAGGTTCTAAGTTCGAGCCCGGACCTTGGTAAAATTCTCGACACTAGTTACTTTCTCGAAGCTAGGTCGAATTTAGTCGCTGTCTAGAGGACAATCCTATCGGCCGGCTGCTCTGATCGGTAGTTTTCTCTGGTTTCTCCGATCATCACCAGGTGAATGCCGGAGCAGTACCCCAACAAACGGGCCACGGATCACGCGCAATTTTTTCTGCCTCTTCTTTCCTTGTGCTATCCTCACCCCTTGCACACACTTACACTAACATACACTACTCTACTACACATTCTGGGAGACCGGGCGGGAGCTTAGAACGAATCGTGCCTGGTGAGAGATACCTGGTTGTGGAGAAATCGCGCTAGGTAGATCTGTGCCGGATCTCACCATCCAGCGTGAGAAGATCAACGTCACCTCCCTAGAAAAAATATCCACTCCTCTTACGCAACTAATTACCTTGGTAATTGTCGCGCCATGAATTACTAACAGCAAACCAACCAGCCAGCATAACCCTGTATTTTTTATTATCCATGCCTACGTGTAATGAAGACGTGTGTCGAGCATTTCTTCTTCCTTTCATTATATGTAGTGTGCAGGACTTGCCTGATCTTTTTATTTCATCATATATAGTATAGAAATTGACGATTTTAATTAATACCAACTGCTCTAATTTTGCTCCGGGCAGAAATCGAACCCGGAATCGCATCACGGGAAGCTAGCTATCCATGAGCTTCCCGAGGGGTGATATTTTATTAGTATCGCAAATAATACGTTCAATGTTTCAGAACAAAATTGATACACAAGTTTTTACAAATTATATAATTTCAATTTAATCATTTTACATTTTAGCAATGTTTTGAAGTCTCTGTATTTATCTTTACCCGAATTCACTGAATACGACTCACCAACCCCCATGGGAAAACGAAATAATCAATAAAAAAAATTATCACGTGAATAGGCTTTCATTTCAAAGAGAGATGGTCTGTTTCACGGTGCAATTCGATAATAACAGTAAGTTCTGTCCATGTCACTAGCTAAAAAAAGAGAGAGTGACACTTTCGTCCAGTCGAGACCTTCAAATACCAAAAATTGAAATCGTTATGAAGCTCGCGATTGCGTAACAGTGCCCCTCCGCCCTCATGCTTCCTATTTTAATCGAAGTTCAGGTGCAAGCCCCCGCGCGTGCGTGTGTGCAGACCGGGTCGGGGACGCGCTCGGGCCCCAGCGGCCGGGGGGGCTGCCACCCGAAGGGCGAGGGCAACTGGGAGTGCCGCGCGCCGCCGGCCCCCAAGGCCGAGTCGGGCAGCAAGAGCGGCAAGTACAGCAAGGACGGCTGTGCCATGCGCAAGCCCGGCTTCACCACCTCCTACTGCGCCGCCAACAAGTAGCAGCCACAAGTGAGTGTTTGTAAAAAACGCTGATGCACGTATTAGTTGGTAATCGGGTATGGTTAAGAGGGATTTAAGTATCAACGGCATGAAGAGCGGCAAGCGTCATTGGTTGATCGTGCATGGCCAAGAGGGATTTAAGCATTAACGCCATTAAACCACTTTTTGTTTGAAATATTTTATTTGCGAATAAAAAACCTCAAGTAGTTTAGTTTGATATTGTGTTTTGTGTCATACTCTGTTTCGTTTCTTCAAGCTGTTGTCCATGTAGTGTGTTAATCAAATAGTTCAATTTACGGATGATTGTGTCCCTTAGTTGTTCTCATTTTTATGTAAAATCTTTAATTCGCTTAAACCAAAATGTGTGTGTGATTGTATCTCGAAAGTGGTTATCTGTGTACTATCGTGATTTACATCTGAACCATTTAAATGGCGATTTCCGCATTACGTCGCGTTCAAGATTTAATGCAGTCTTATTTTGCGGCAGTCACATCATTTGAGACACATCGTCTTTGCGACAAATTAGATTAATTAACATCGACGAAAAAATACAAAATCACTTAGATGAAAGGGCACAAGGAACGTCATTACACGAATTGGCTATTGATCAGGTATGGCTAAGAGGGATTTAATTAATTGCCTTGAGTTATATAGTGTATGCTTTATTTGAAATATTTTTTTATATATATTTGCTTTATTTGCAAATAAAAATCTCAAAAAATAGCCTCAAGATTTATTCTGTTGACATTAATATGCACGAATACCTATGCTATTTTCATTCTCTAAAAAATATAAAACCCAAACAGTAATCTAAAAATTCCGTGCTCGATGGTTCGGGATTATATTGTATAGCCGAACTATTTGTCCCTATTTTTTCACTTTATCAGTGTATTTATAGTTTGTTTCTAGTAACAAGATCTTGGTATAATGGTTAATTAGTAAATTGACCGAGTCTCGATTTTACAACAAGCTACATCGCGTTTTTAGAATGCATTATGAAAAAAAATATTTTTATAAAATCCAACTTTGGAAAAATTACGGCCACTCTACAGAACATTTATTTAAAAAAAACTTTTTTGCGTTGTATTTGACCACGAGAGAAAGTGTTATTGTATACGTTTGTGATCAATTAATTCAAATAAATGATATCACTATTTTAAAGAAGCGAGCGTATCTTTCACTTCCAGAAACTTGGTATTTATCGATTGTAATGATTGTTGATCAAATTAATAGTTAAAAATTCCTATATAATCATACTACGCCAATTATTTCCGTATTTTTTTAATAAATCTACTTGATTCCAAAAAGTAACTTAGTGGGCAAGAGCAAATGGAATATTACATCTTAAAATAAAAATACAATAATGTAACAATAACAATTGAATTCGCAACTATGAATTTGTTAATGTGTTGCTACAGTAACATAGCTCATTCTTTTATCAAATAACGAGGCGACGGATTTATACATGTCCAAATCAGGAAATCTCTACAGCTAAAATAACATCTGCAAAGAAAACGCTGGTAAGAACTTCGAAAACATTTAACATTTGTTATTCTAACTATTTTCTGCAGCGTAAAACGACATCAGTTGGGTATAAATGGAAGTTGTAAATAATGCGTTTTGTTAATAAGGAATGGCTACTTTAATTTTGCTCGTTTTTTTTTACAAAGTGCTACTCAACATTATCTTCTAATACTAAGCCACAGGATACAAAAAATGAATGTTAAATGTATGATGAAATATTATCTTTCAAATAATGTAAATCGTCTAATAAGTATTTTCAAAGCTTAAAAATAGTTGTTAGTAACCACTATTTTCAAAGCTAAAAATAGTTGTTGTGAACATTAGTTTAATGTGGACTGAATTGCTTTAAATATAACATTTGTTGTTCGTTGCTTACAAGTATTTGATTTGACTCTTTCAGGGTCAAGAACAACGCGCAAGTACTGCACGAATAGATTAACAAGAAAGGAATTCATTAATTCCCACCAACTAATATCATCATGGGATGTACCTGTTGCAAGTAGGTATTCTGAAGACGAATTTAATAATTAAATAAATAAAAGGTGTTGTCCAGTACCAAATGTACATTTTAGCATAAGACCTTTTCGATAGTGCGGCAATCATCATCACAGATATCTGAAAAATTGCTGAAATACAGGAAGTAGGAAATAGAAATTGCAGCAATACACGAAATAAAAATTATTGAAATTATTTACAAAAATTAAATACATTCTGTTATCCTAGAATGAGTCAGTCAGATGCGTAAGCAAACTGAATTGTGCCTTGCAGCATCTGGGCGGAAAACAAAGTTGTGAGGTTAATTTTGTAGTGCGACTTTGAAGTGAAGTATTAAAGTGTGTAATATTGAATGCGTTCCCTTCATTCATACGAGATAAAACGTCTGTATGTTTTTGGTGTTTTATAGCAAAATCGTTTCCTAAATGTATTTAATAACAGCAAATCCCCTCTTATGTGACTAAATTGGTAGTGATTGATTCACAATAATTTCATTTCTAAATTGCTGCACATGCTGAATACCAATAAGGTATTTATGGATTACTGATGTTTAGGTGTTTTTAAGATGTTTAGGGATGATTTAAGTTAAAATCGTTGAATGCATGAATTAGTACTTGTAACATAACCAATTATGTAAGTAATTTTATCTTTAGTGTGTTGTAAACCAATTCAGCTTATATACAAAAACAAATGTAACATACTCATATCAAGCGCTTGTAATCAAAACTTGAGGTAAGCACTAGAAAACAATAAATACAGCCATCATTATCCATTAATCATATCTAAAAAATTAAATTTCAAATATTATTAACATTTACTTTTCGAATTACTTTTGTGACCAAAGCCACAAATGATTTTTAGAAATTCTTGCGGTGAAGTGACATATTTCATAATCTTCATTTTGAAACAAAGTTGTATATATTCTACAAGTGTGTTTAAAAAATAAGAAAAATTTGTTAAAAATAAAAATAAAATTAACGATTTCATGTAAGATGCCGATCCGGTTAGCCGAGATCACTAAGGCAGTAGAGTAGTGGCGATCTCGGACGGAAGGATCACATGTTCGAGTCCCGCCTTGGGCACAGGTGTCTTTGTCTATGTATGTCTGTCGTCCATTCATCCTTCATTATCAACATCATTCCACATTCCGTACCCCATGTACTAGCAGCCTTGGTGGATAAAAATTGGATTCAGCATAATGCTGATTTCTCCCAAAATGAGTCGCATACACTTGCAATGGAATAAATGTTACCGAGCCTCGTTAAGTACAGGTGTATATCCTCGTGGTCCTAGGCGGCCAATTCGCCACCAAAAGAATTAATACTTGAACGATTACATTAGCCACAATTAAAAATGCATTATTTTTTCCTTATAGCCCTTGCGGTCCTAGCCCCCCTCTCGGCTGCCCTCTGTGCTGTCGATGGGTCTGCGGGCCCGGATGCGGCAGTGGAAAAGCTTTCCCATGAAAACACGCATGAATTAGTACTTGTAACATAACATCAATTATGTAAGTAATTTTATCTTTAGTGTGTTGTATACCGAGACGCCAGACTTCATTATTAAACCGAAAATGATTGATTAAAAAAATAGAGAGACTAAAATACAGGAAAATATTTATTTACCGCGTAGAAAACGTGAAAAGTGAAAAATATATAAAATTTATTGAAAGTTTTATCATTTATCGACTACTATTTTAATAGTAATACACTTAATAAATAATATCTACAACAGTTTAATAACAATGTCTCATTGGAAAAAGCTTAGAATCAATTTTCAAAATGCTTTAACAGTATTGGTATTATGGTGAGTTTTCATTGGCATTTACAATTAAATAATTGAGTCGTCATTGCCAACAATAAGATTTAAGAGATTAAGAGACTCAGACATTAAACAATTACGGAAGTTCAACAATACTATTTTTTAACAAAACGGAAGAACTTATCTTGAACGTAAAGTGACGTGAGGATCATTCAATAAACAGAATATTTGGTTTTTTAAAATTTAAATTTAAAAGTAAATACAAGGGAATCATGTCATTAAATCTTTGTATATCACAATTATATTCTATAAATCTGATTGAGATTATTGTATTTCAGTTTAGCCCAGCACCTTACTGCAATCAAGTATTTCAAGAATGAATTGAACGAGATGCATAGAACAAGACAACGCAAAGTGCAAGAGAGTACCTGACAAGTAGCGCCAAAAGCGTTACATCCTCTTAAGCAAACAACCTTTGGAGGAAATTAATATATAACACGAAAACAATGCAAATGCAGTATGGATGCATATATTATGGGCTATCATAAAAACTTGAGAGCCAAAACTAATTTAAATGTAATAAAAATAGGAAATAAATTCGTCGCCTCGATTGTTGTATTTTGTTTAGTAATGAGAATGTTAGGTTCTATCGATGAAACTTACGAGTATAATTTAAAGCAATCACAAAGTATTACATACGGCAGTTTTTTGTATACCAGCATTATAAATTTATAAGAGAATCAAACTTAATACTGCGAAACATCTTTCTTGTGACGCCTCGGGCATTTGTGGGATAAAACAGTGCTCGGCTGTTCTGTTAATCACTATAACCCACGATTCTCTAGCTGCGATTGGCTGAATGTGTGATGACGCAATCATTCGTGCAGAAAATGTTAATACGTCATTTGTGCTGTAAAATGCCCAATTATGAACGATATTTTGCAATAGAAAAGATCGTTCGTAAGGCTGGTGTACAAAAAAACATTAGAAGACTCTTTAAACAATTGTCCTGTAATGAACAATTTTCTTTCCGTAAAACTACAACAATGAGCTACTATGTAGACAGTTCGAATAAAATGTATTGATAATAAATACAATATCATTAAAGCACTGGGATAGATGAAGTTCTGACATGGAAAATCGAGTTAATCTGTGATCCGCATAAAAGAATTTTAAAACAGAAGATGACAAATTTTGATTTGTGCTTAACAATAAAGGATATAGGTGTTGCGGTAAGATATCTTTGGCATTTTTAAAATAATTAAAGATGTTGTCATTGCCAACAATATTTTTTAATGCAAAAGCAGCTTTCGATGGCTTAGCCATCATCAGTTGTCTGCTAGATGGAAGCCACAAAACGACTACCTAAACGACTACTAGGTAGTCGTTTTGTGGCTTCCATCTAGCAGACAACTGATGATAATGGCTAAGCCATCGAAAGCTGCTTTTGCATTAAAAATATTGTTGGCAATGACAACATCTTTAATTATCTTAACAATAAAACTCTGGACTATCCTCAACTTCATTTTCCTCCTTTTAAAACAGGGACTGATGTTCATGGAATACATAGTGATGACATTCTGGTAGGTAGGGCAGTATGCTCTTATAAGATCCTTGTTTTGAAGTAACAATCTTCTTTCCAGCCGGATTGACTCTTCATATAATTAATTTTGAAAATATCGATTATCATATTTAGTTACTGGTTGGACTTCCGTTTCTGTGATCTATCTCTTCTTACATCAACTTCCATTTCTTCTCATGAAGCAACTGTGGGGAAAAATGGGACGGCCTGCAAACGTTTTGCTTTGCCGTTTTTACTTCTTATGCACGATAATTCTAAGTTTTCATTTAATTTAGATTTTACTTTGTTCCAATCACTCATATTTCTCATCGATTACTTAATTTCGTATATGTACGTGAACCACAATCACTTAAAGCGCTACGCTTTGAAGCAATAATTACGTGACCACATCGTAGCGTGGTAATGGAGAGAGGAAACTGATGCTCAGCATAGCTCACTACAGCACAACAGAAACCCACCTTTTTATTTCAGTGATTATTAACGGTCGAAAAATTATGGGAAGAAGGTGAAAATTGAAAAATTTATCAGTAACTTTAACATTATTATAGAATAAAACAATGTACTACATAAATATCAATTTTGGAAAAATTTCGGCATATCTCACTCTTGTGTCTCCGCCTCAATTAGATCCATACTCTCTACAACCTGCCATGGTGCTGAGGTACTAGACTCGTTTAATGAAAGATTCAATATAACACTTATTTTGAAGTGTTGTATTTTATTGCAGAATGTTCTCCGTGGAAGGTTTTGACCGATTTAATCAACAAATCCAGTATCTTTTGGAATGTATTTTCAATTTCTTCATAAATGCGACAAAGCATTTAAAAGAAGTGTAGAAAAATATTAACGAAGGTTTGTAATAAAATTTAACAGAAGTGATATTAAAATAACTCACTTTAAATGCCATAATAAGTAAATTTTGAAGGAGAAACAAAAAGTATATGATTATTACTAAGTGGAACCACACTATATATCAAAAGGAATCGTGTGAAGTTTAATAGAATGGGTGAACACCATAACTGTACAAGTGGCATTTTATAAATTCTGAGAAATCTGTTTATTAAAGTCTATATCACTGTAAAGTCGTAATGCTTTGTTTAAACATGAAAACCAAAGCATTTCAATTTTTAAACCACAAAAATACATTGTCACTTACATATAAAAATTAACAAGTTTTCTTGGAATTTATAAAATGTCGCTTACACCGTTTTGGTTTTCACCCATTCAATTGGTTTCTGTCAAGACATGTATGGCATAGACTCCAAAATATAACTTATCCACTTCGATCCAAGGTTAAATTTTAAGATTTGTAGTACAAATATTAAAAACAAAATTCATTTTATCTTATTTGTTTCATTAACTAATATCACCAGTCATTCATATTTTACAGAATGAGTAGTGAAAATTATAGTGCATTTGAGTTTTATCGAAGTGGATAGAACGTACGGAATTCGTATCCAAACATCTCATTACAATACTCGGCTGTTTCTCAAAGTTAGCAAATGTCCTTATTGGATCATTATTAATTGACATAATGTACTCATATGATATACATATGTTTTTCAATACTATTCATTTCAACTGCGTAACTGTTAGATATGCAATAGTTTTAC